TGTTCCACTCTCTAGCTTTGGAGACCTTCAGGGCCCCAATGCTGTCGTGAGGCTTATTGCAGGCCTTCCCCTCGACGAACGCAGGAATGCTGCTGTCGAGGGGATTTAAGTGTGGTGAGGATGGTGGCCACCTGTCCTCAGGCCAGAAATTAGGCATGTAATCTTCCAGCCACTTCTCTGTCTCCTGTGACGTATGTGAGGGCACACCACGTTGCTGAAAGACCACATTGTCGTCTGAAGTGTAGTTGGAAACTACTCAAGGCTTGACATGCTTCTGAAGAACGTCCAGGTGCACGTCTTTGTCCACGTTGACGCCAGCTTTTATCACCACAGGGGACATGACTTTGCCGTCAGGTAATCAGGCCAAAGACCATCACAGACGCAGGGTGTTTAGTCTGAAACTTGTACTTACTATTCTCGGGTACCTCGTTGACCTTTAGCGGGTTTATGCAGCGATCTGTTCGACTGTTAGACAGCGAATCGACCGAGAAGGGTTTTTCGTCGGAATAGAGCACCGTGCCTAGTCACTTCTTAAGGAAGTTTAAGAATCTCTTATTTCTTTCCGGTCTCTTCTCTATCACAACCTCACTAACGAGATGCTTATTGGTCCTAGCATTTGACTTAGCCTTCAGGTTCGTTTTCACGGCATTCCTGACGGTCTGTTCAGGCACCTCAAGCTCCAAAGCAATCTTCCTCGTGCTCCGGATTGGATTGTAACAAATGCGATTCCGGACAGCCCTTATAAGACGAAGGGTCCGAACCTTCTTGTTTTCTCACTACCAGGCTTCCTGTCGATGCGGCCGAACTTCTTATAACGGTCGATAATGGTGTAAACTGTTGACCTGGTCATTTCCAACTTGGCAGCGATGTGCGTGGGCGAGAGGCCATTAAGACTGAACTTGATAACTGTCTTATTATCTTTTTGACGGCAAAATACTTGAAAACGTTTTCAAAGAAATTGTTATTGTATCATTGCCAGAGTATTCTAAAAAAGCATAGATTTCAATACATATATATCCAAAAGGTAGCGGCAAAAGTATTACAAAATTTACGGTCGCATACGGTAGGGCAAAATCATCTTCACTACCGAATGGCTCAAAATAAAAGCCTACGGACTGTCGCGTGACGGCAAATCATATAGGAGAGATACCAGTAAAACCAAGGCCGGAGCGATGGGCCTCCGCTCCGCACAAACGATCTCAATCAAAAGGTGTGCGTCAGTGTTAGTGACAGTCCATCATCCTAGAATTTGATGAATAAGTTCTGGGAGTTAGTTGATAAAAGTGACTTTCAAAGTAGAAATTCCGCGGGAATACCAGAACCATAACCAGGGTAATTTCTCAAACTTGCCTGTCACAATTTTCTGAGGAAGAAAATTACTGGCCCCATTCCAGCAAGACTGATTTCGCGCAATTTTAAGAACTGGGGTTTTGGCGCATCTATTTTAGCAACAATCTGTTGAATAAAGAACATATGGCAGAGTTATGCCCAGAAGAAGTCTTATCGTACTAGAATACGGTTTATATCAAAACTCATGAAGTACGAACTTATATTTTTAGGTAGTCTTTCAAATAGAGGAGTCGGATTAGGTGAATTTTCGATAAGAGATGTGAATAGGAACGCCATAATATAGGCGGTTTTGTGCCAAATTCCAGGGGGGTACCAATTCACGTGCTCCAGCTCCAAATCTACTCTGCCTTGTTTACTTTCTGAAAAATTAAAGCAAATCCTTCGAAACAGACCTTTTCAAGCTCAATCTAAGACGTCCTTTCCAAAGGGTTCGCTCCAAATTTGCGTCGTAATTTCCTCAGAAATTAAACAAGGCAGGATGAAAACTGGAGTTGGTATATCAGAAAACACACGGAGAGCACTGGGTGACCCATTGGTGAGCCGAACCCCTCGCAGTCGCGTCAGGCAGCGGCACAAGATCGGCAAAGCACGCATCTCTGGGCTTTTAGCTATAGTGTCTGTGCTGTCGACAACGGCGGTCGAACCGTCACTACCAAGAAACTTATTCTTTCCTTCCAAGATTTAAATAACATGCGCCCAGTTTATCTTGTTCTTGCATATAGAAATTACACACAATTCGAGTCAATAGAGCAAAAACTTCTGGATTTTCACATATTCCGTTTTGATAGCCGTTTATGGCAAAAGTTTCTCATGGAATTATCAAAATTCTCACAAAAATTGATGATTTGGTGTACTTATTCATCGCGGACGGCGTTAGTGCTTAAACGAGATGAATTCATATTGCGCACAATAACTGTTCATGTTGTAGAATCTCACTTTTACAGCAACTGATAACATCGACAGCAATTTACTATATTAAAGTCTCAGACGAGGCTTATATGGTATAAACCTTCAGAAACCGTATTTTGTGCAGTAAAACGCCGTATCAATGAGTCCTTCGCTCTGCTAACAATCACTCTTCAAGTTTTTCACTTTAAGAATTAAAAAATTTGGGTCCGATTTGGAACTTCATTGAAAATCGGTGCTATCTCAGGAAAGGGAAACGCATTTGTTTACACAAAAGGTGTCTTTTCACACACACAGTGCATGCACTGACTAAAACTTAACCACGGGCTTCGACAATTTTGCTGCCAGACGATACACTACTGCATGGTTTTAGCCCGACACAGGGTCTCCTAGCGTTTTAGTGCAGTCTCTGATCGTAATTGTGTTTTAAAGTGAAGTTTTTATTTCTTACTTTTCAATTTCTTCAAAAATAATCGCTAAATTGGAGTGGATTTGTCTTTTTGAAACTTTTGAGCTCAGACTGAATTCGGTATGAATATTTGAGCTGAAGCCCATCAGCCACTGCGGAATAATCGTTTTATCTTCAGAACTTCCAACGGGCTCAAATATTCACATCCATATTCAGTCTGAACATATAATTCTCAAATAAACTGATTTACTCCAAGTTAGCGATTAATTTGTGAGGAATTTAAAAAGCAGCAATTTCCGAACTGGATTGTCTACCTGAAAGCACACACTGATGAACCGAACCCTTGCAGTTGTGTCATGCAGAGGCAGAATATCAACAAAATACGTGTCTAGGCTTTTGGCTAGCACCCGTGCTGTTAGTATGGCATGCTGTGATCCAAAACATTCCCCCTCATATTCCAGTGGCAGGACAAAGCTAAGAGGACTGAAGGTGGGCGTGGATGCAGCGGATGATAAGACTAAACAATCCTTCCGCGTGTTCCACACGCAATTTAGTCCTTAAACTCCGTACTGACCAGGCCTCGGAGAATAGGGCGTCTGGGATCTCCCATGCAAGACCGTGCAGGCCACAAAACAGAAGGAGCTATTAAGGCAGGCTAGGCTTGAAGTCCTGCTGGTAAAGGCGCACACCAATGTACTTTTTTTCGAAACGGACAAGCGATGAGAAGCTGGAAGCGATAGCACATGGGTGACCATCCATCAGCCAGAACTCGACCACAATAGGATGGAAAGGCAGCATCGACAGAAAATGCGGATGGCTTTATTCAATCGGGTGACAGCCTTCCAAGTCACAACTTTTTGCATGCCTTGATAGTATCAAACGCACCAGATTCGGTTATATAGTAATCCCTTGCTATATCGCGCTTACACATTCGTGGATTCACTCTATCGCGGAAGAAGAGCATTTCCATGGACATTAATAACATCCGATAGGAGGTCAAGCAACTTCATGTTGGATTTACCGATACCGGCTTTGCTATCAACGATGATCCACCGGCAATAAAAATGGATTTACTACCAGCAAGGCCCGGTTTGAAAAATTCAAGACAAATACAACTCGGCCAGCTCAAACCTATATGAAGAGGTCGTCTCCGCAGACCTGCGGCCGAGAAAATATTTCGCCGGCACGTTCAGGGCGATCACTGAGGAGGCCGGACATCGGCCTGAGCAAGGGCTTAGTGTGGATACGTCGACCCTTTTGGAAGTAGATGACGTCTCGTACTGTTACCATGACAGAAGAAGAGAAACACCCCGGTTTCAGGCCCAGAAAGATCTCATCACGTCAGTCATGCTGGACAATATTTGGAGCTCTATGATAAAATGTGAGCCCATTTATAAGTCAAAACTCCCCGGACCCTGAAAGACAAGAATAATAATCTGCCGCTTGAGCACTGAGTGCACACCCCAGGAGTCCGGATTATGAAGCTCCCGACGTCGGTTTGGTTTCATCACTGTCACGTCCCGAAATGGTTATACCAGTGTGGAGAGGGTTGTAAGGACTTAAAATACACAAAGTAACCATAAAAGCGTAGGGTTCTTACATCAAAAATTTTTAATTTTCGCGGGAGTTTCTGGATCGCAACCTCGGTGATCGAGGAGTGATCACTGTACAGCGGAATGTACTGATGAAAAAATTCCTCTAGGGTTGCTCCACTTCTTCCCTCCACCACGCACCAGTAGCTTGTCCGAACCTGTCTGCGAACCAGTGTAAACGATAGTCCGTCGAACAAGATAAAAATTTCCTGTCTGCTACGGCTGATAAAGTCAGGGTTACAAGATGCAGCTGATCCACCGGCTTCGCCGCATCTCTCAATCATCTCGTTCGTCCTTCGTAGCCTGTATTTAAGATTAGACTTTATTAACCCGCAGCGTGAAGGCTATTTTCTCAATTGAAATACACTTTAAGTTTTATCCGCTCGAGGGCATGCGGTATGACTTTAATGTTTCAACCAAAAGATGTACCTGACTTAGAGTATGATAAGTATGTATGTATGTACAAACAGAAAAATACAGTATACAGTGAAAAACACCTTAATTACAGAAGAAAATCTAAATATACTCTGTTTCATGTTGAGCCGGAGAAATGCAAACATGTCACACAAATTTTTACAGAGAATGATTTTGAAAAATGGCTGTGTTCGATTATTTTGGTAAAATAGTTAGTCGAGGAAAATATGCAAGTGTGGTGGACCCCAGTACTTGTACACATGAATGTATTGAGGTTTTGAATTTGGGAGGAGGAGGAGGAGGAGATGTATTGGAAACGTAGAACTCAGTCATGAAGCTGGCTCGGCATTACCGTCCGGTACCTTTAGGTAATTCCGAAGCCAGTCAATTGGAGAAACGTTGACGCAGCCTGCAACCTGCTGGTCAATTGGGGCTACCGCATAGCCAGGGCCTCCAGACGGTCCGCCCAGGGCCCCCTTCCCCGAATTATAAACATACTGGTTTGGTCTCTTGTCCAGACTTCCTCGGAGAAAGGGCAAATGCGGTTTGGCAGCGGATTTCGTGAAGAGAGTTGCCGTATGAATTGGCACGTGGCTTCCATAGAAGGTGCCGAGGTTCAACTGAGGAAAGTAGCTTTTGATGCGCTATAAAGACCAAAAACTCAGAGTAGTATCTTCTTAAAAGATGAATTGCTAGTCGATTTTTTGTCAGTACATCGGGGTTAACAACAGTCTGACAGCTTAGGATAACCTGCAGTAAATGCTATAATCCTGTTGGATGATGGGGTTTAGATCACAGCTTTACTTTCCCCCGAGTATCGCGGTTTCAGACCCTTGTCTACATTTGATCACAACAGACGATTCAATTGTTTTATATTAATAATTTTTTCAAGTACGCCCACTTTCTATCCTTGGATGTTCTGTGAGATAAAAGCCCACAGGAGTGAAAATTAGGTAAGAAATCATTGAAAGTTTGCTACTAGGCAGAGAATGGACAAAGCATATCATTAAACCGGCTCAACCATCAACGTTGGTCATCTGTGTTAGGCTACTCTGACACAAAAGAAAGGACAGTTTGCCCAGTTTCGCAGAAAACTCTTTAAAGACTCAAAGAGTTAGAAAATTAACTTAATCGGACACGTTGCCGCAAGTAGCTAACGAGTGAAATTTTGACGCATTAAATCAAAAAGTGACAATGAATGACCGCTTCTCACCTCTTCGATCTCCGCGATAGGCAGCTTCGAGAGCGGCAGTAAGTCAATGGCACTCGTGAGGAGTCCATCTATGCCGTAAATATCATATTGTCCGGGCAAGAGGCTGTCGGGTCCGTAGAACGGAGAGAAAGGAGTGTTTGTCTGCTTGTTGTCACTTTCCTCGACGGAGTTGCTTGTGTTGGACTGACGAGTGGCACTGAACACCACAAGATTAGGAAATTCCCCTGTGCGTTCCTCCAGTTTGCGCAGTAGAACGCCCGCGAAATTTTGATCGATTACGGCGAAGATGAGAGAGGCCTTGCAGAGACTAATGTCGTCAAGAAATTCTACAATACTGTATCTTTCCAGTACTGTTGCCTGTCAGAAAGTGAAAGTGATATTACTGAAAATCTGTCTGATGTAAAAACCACACGACAACAAACGAGAAAGGCGTATTCACTTCTGGGTTTTTTTTCTGAAAAGCGTTCTTGTCTTACAAGTTAGATTTGGCCTAAATATTCTATTACATTTGATTCAGAAGGATTGGGACAATCACAATCTGATAACGTCAGAAGGCATAAAGTGCTATAATGTTGTCAATACCGTTCCTTTATATCTACTAGTCAAAAAAGGCAAGGGACAACACATAACTGCCATACACGGCCGTTTGCCGGGAGTTCTTTAAATACAGTTTGCTTAAAGTTTGTTATTACCACGTGGCCATCGTGAATGGGGGGGGGGGGGAGAGCGGCATGAACATGGATTTTCCTCAAGTTTCTGCCGAGCAGAAACAATGACGGCAAATGTAGCTTATTTATCGAAGGCTTACTCAGTCCTGTCGGTCAATGCTTCCAGGCAAAGAACGGAGAGCAAAGACTAGAGACATCTTCCACTTTACCAAGTGCAAGCTGTAATATGACGCTGGGCCAATATCGGGGAGTTTGATTTTATCGCACTTATCATTCCCAGAGTGGTTGTCGTCATCAAATATTCTAAATACTGGGATCGGACAGTGTAACCATGACAACTGCAAGCCAGGCGACAAGAAATACGAACTAACCTCCAAGTTGCCTTTGCGGATCTGACTGAAATCTTTCACACAGTCAATTGCTACAGAGAGTGGAAAATATTGATAAAATCCCGATGTCCGTAATGCTCCTGGCAGACGGATGAACAACTGCACAACGGGATTATTGTGTGCATCTTGGAGAACGACTTAATCTCGGAGGCACTCGCTCTGACAAACGGGTAATGCAGGGCTGTATGCTTGCCCCCTATCCTCTTTAACCCCATGTTCTCCATCGTGTTGATGGGTGGCTGTCGCAAGGAGCGGCTGAAAAACAACATCAATTGTCGAGCTGACTGACAACTGCTCAGCAGCCGATGCATGCAGGTTCTGTGAGTTTCTAAGGCCGGCGCCCATGACCTCCTGATGACGGATGGCTACGTACTAAATACAGTGATGAGAGACGGCATGCAACGGAGTTTGAACCTTTTCATCTCTGGCTGTTCATTGTTCGGACGGACGATAAACCAGAAAAAAACGGGGATTATGCTTTAATCAGCAGAAGTTGACTTGTATAAGGTGTCCTGGATCAACATGCATGCATGATGTTGTATGCGGAATAACGTGAGAACACGTTACACACATGCTGGAATCGAAAAATAGTCACGGTTCTAGTCAGCCTTCTGTGGTGATGGAAAATTTTGCGCTGGATAGCTGGGAAAGACTTCGTTCTGGATGCACACAATAGAAAATATTACGACGGAAAAGTGACTAACAGGGTCACTTACTGAAGACAAGTTTACTTGCAGATATAGACACTCTCCAAAGGGGATAAAGCTTCCGGTTAAATAGTTACTTGATGTCTTTTCTATCAGAAACCGTCCATTGCTGGCTTTTTATTCAATTTCCGTTGCGTCCAAATATGTTTTTAACTTCGCTGCCTTCGCCCTTTCGAACAGCTATTTTTTCTAGTGTTTATAAGCGCAAAAATACACACGCATGACGGCCAAGGGAGACATTGCTCCCCGAATTACCGCGAACGCGTTCAGACTCCAATGTCCCAACCTCTATGACAGGGTCATTTATTCTGAAGGCGTATCAATAAATCAAAGCTACGCGCATAAAACATAAACGCGTCGTCGACAAAAAGACTACAAGCGCAGCAGCTGTCACCTATCTCCCATCGTTTTCACTGCCTTCGTCCTCGACACCATTCGTGATGAACTGGCTTCACCCAGTAAGACGCGTATGCCTGGTGGCATACCCGGGCAAGCACATGCCTCATTGCCTGCCTTTATGAATTGGTAATTAATCTGGTCTTAAAGCAAGCAGGCTGTTGACAATCGCCGATCTTTGCGTGCGCATGACCGTGTGTTTGCGTGAATATAAAAAGGCGTGTGCGCTTGTGTTTGGTCCTGGCCGTCGCAAACTGGGCCGTTTTGTGTCTGGCCAAGATCACGTGTGGCTGTTCGTTTCATGCGTACTTGTGTACGTGTGTCGCAGAGCCGGCGTTGCTGGGGGCAGCATGAAATTTCACTAAAACTGTCTACCGCAGCAGGACCCCGAACTAAACAATTCCACTGCTAGGCTGCTGCTGCTGCTGCAGCTGTCGTTGTGTACCTGTTGGCCGCCATCCTCCTTTAGGTTCCAGAGCAGCATGTCGCCGTCAGGCAGGACAAAGTTGTTGAAGTAGAGGAAGAGTGTAGAAACACAGTTTGGAGTGTGACAGAGGATTCGTAACCGTTCACGAAAACCTTCTTTACTCGGCTTGTCCTCGAGGCGGGGATTGTCCCGGGGACCTTCGTCTAAAATTAGGGAGGAGTGAAAAATTTTTGGCATGCATGATTTTCGAAAACTTGTGCATAGATGAACACGCGACTTTTTCGAAATTCACTGACTGGAATGCTACATCAGTTTGCATTTTCTAGGATGAAACGTACTGGGGATAAAATCTCAGACCTTCCAGGCCACTGCTGACAACTGCGGGAGCAATACGGCCTTATCTGTGTGACCTTATTATAGAATGCTGACATTGTCTACAGCGTTCACGTTTAAATGCTACTTTCTTTCAGGGAGTCTCTGAGAATGCGTGTTTTACAGAACAGGCTTCTTTAATCACGGGAACTCATTAAGTCAGTCTCATGTCTTGTAATAGCCGGTCTAATTTGTCGTATTGACTGGCAGGGGACAAGTGGATGGAGTGAACCTGACGTAATTTTCATCTTTACTTAACATCAGCCAACACCTTTTGGTTAAGAATTTGTTTATAACGTCAATTTTCCCACAGGAATAACCGGTTGAAAGCCAAGCATGTCATAAAAGGAGGCAAGATTCGAACGGCAAGCTCTGACCTGTTCTTCGACACCAAGTTAGTGAGATTATGGCAAGTTATAAAGCGCGCGAGGCTTCATCCTGAACTACCTGTTGTCAAAGCCATCGCTTAGTGACAGCGCGGAGTATCTAGTGGAGTGGCGGCTCCATCACTACTTAGATCGTCGGCACCAAATTCCTTCGCACCTGAGTATCAACCCACAGCCTGAGCTGAATCTGCTCTCCTTTTGCAAGTAAGCTAAGGCGTCGGTGACCGGAACCGCACTAATAAGTGTAGGCATGTTACGAACTGCACGAAATACATTTCTTGTGGACATTTCCTACTTTTGGAAGCTCCTTGGCGGTGGGTTTCCGTTCGCAACTAGCAAGTTGTTCCACTTGAACTCACGGCTCTTCATAGTCCTATTTTGGCCCATCTTTGCGGTAGACTAGAAGGTCTCACAAAACGTTTACTAGATATTACGGGGTATTGGAGTCTGCGATTAATAGAATGAAGAAGAAACCAGAAGGCTGAACGTCATCTACTCAAGTCCATGCCAGAAGGTGTCGTCTGCCTAAAGCCCAATAGTGAATAGACGAAATCAATTATGGAAGCAGACTGTCTCCAGTCTTTGCATGAAAATACTTCTTCCAGGTGACCACCTGCGTCCGAAAAGACGCCACTTGCGAACGCGTCCATGAAGAAAGTGGACATATAAGAATTGGTGTAGCCGAGGTAACGGAGTTTCTCCACCAGCTGATTGACATGCGCCTTGGTTAGAGAGGCATGCCAGCGGTCCGTCCAGCTACTGGCCAGAAGTAGGGCATAGTCACAGCGGGCGTAGGCGGAACAAAGTTGGTCAACATGCGGATCCCGCTGAGGAGGTACGATGGGGTCAAGTGTCTGGACTGGGGGTTGGGGCAGGAAAGATGCAATTGCCTCTCTCTTGCGCATGGGATTCAGCCACTGTGACGGTCGGCTCCAAAGGCCTCCTTCGAAGGGTTCCGTTACACTTGAGTAGGAAGTTGGTAATACACGACGTCGATAGAGTCCTAGGAAGTCACAAGAATATAAGAAAACCTCATTAGTAGATGCATTTTAAGGAGTCTTCTACGACAGCTGAACATTCCTGCTGACCAGTAGGCCCCCAGTCCTTTTGCGGTTGCTCTGGTACACAGGTTACTGGAAGTCTTAAGAACAGAGAATGAAGTCCAAGAAGGCATGTAACAAGTGCCTTGTGTGGTAGTAGATGTAAATTTTCTTTAAACTCCCCATCCATCACCGGAGTTAGACCGGACGGTGACAGTGATTACACACATATGTTAAAGCGATGACTTGAAAAATTATTAGCGAAATAAATTTCAGTGAACAGACTTAGACAAGCCTTTAAGGTTGGTTCAAACTTTTAAAAAATAGCCAAGTCAGAGCGAATCCAATTCCTTTGAATGACCGCGAAATACGAATTCTACGAACGAGTATTTTTGTCTGTCACTTTCGATCCTATTGCATTAATCTTCTAGCTAGGCTCAAACGCGGGGCAGAACGGTAAGCAGGACTTGTAACTCCATTGGGCGCTTGAGTCATGCATATCTTTGAGCAATTTTAATCAATGTCTATCGGAACTCACGTCTACGACGATTCTGCTGGACTGAGTTGGGACACGGAGCAAGTCCGAGGGCAACCAGAGGAACACAACGAAGAATGCTGACGTTGGAGGACTGCGGTGAGCGCAGACTCCTGGTTGTCCTCTCTCGGAGCTGTTTTCTCCTAGAAAACAGTGACCACTGGGACAGACTGGCCGTCATCGAGATGGGTGAGGTTGTGTCTCGAAGATAGTTCTTCGTTGTCACCATTCGCACGCTGGGAAGGAAGTGAAATTCACAGGTCTGCTGGTCATTGCTTGCATCTTCGTTAGCTTGTAAATCAGACGATGATGCGGATGGTTTGCTGGAGGTTGAGGGTTCCAAAAAGGATGGGGTGCAATTGCCCGTAGACTCTGGACAGATGCAGTCGGTGCCTGAAATGTGGACTAAGAGGTTAAGTCTGAAGCGTGTGTGTGTGTGGGGGGGTCCCCATTTGGTCTTCAGTTCAAAGCCCAGAGACCTCTAGCAGGGGCTGCTTGCTGCTGAATCCAAGTCAAATTGAAGAGTAAATTTGAGATCTACACATAAGTTCAATATAAGAATAGTGACATTTTTGCGAGATATTTTGTTATCGCATTCAGTATATATAATAAAGCCAAAAAGTTTGGCAATTTCCCGGAAAATGCGCGGTCGCACTGCCAGTAATCATAATTTGCTATCGCCCTTGAGTTTCCAAATTATACTGTATTATTTCCGAAGTCCGTTTGTTTATTTCGTATTTAGCGTTTGGTGTTCATTGAGTTTCTGCGCATAAATTGCCATTAAATATTCTATGAAATGGAAACTGATATATATGTTGACAAGTTTACTTCGTTTCATTTTGGAAAATCTTAGTAGCTTCCGAAAATCAGTGTACGGATATACCTGCAAATATCAAAGAACCGTAACGATTTGTATCCATGTTTTTGACGTCTTGGCTGCGGACTAAAAGGTTTCCAGGTTGAGGAATCTGGGAGAACATCCAGACTTGAAACACCAAATAGGCTACAAACTGCGCTGGGCGGCCGTTGAATTACAAGAGTTATGTTACTGTCAGCCGGAATCTCGCTGGTCAGAAAAAACAGAGGCTGACCTTTAAAATCAGACTTTTGCTATCCGCGTCCTTCTTGAAAGGACCGACTAATTTATGCGAAATACAGCGAGAAATTTGTGAAAACTCCTGACGCCGGGGAGTTCTGTCGAATGGCTAAGCTGAAAACCCGAGAAAAAGCCGCATCGGTCAAGTCAGCCTAATCAAATTTTTGGCAGAGATTTGGGTCGTAGAGTCTTGTGAACTGTAATCACAACATGTGGCGTTACCTAACAGACCCCAAGGACTAAATCATCTTTTAGGTGTAATCTTCCTGTTGTGTTATGTAAACAATGTTTGGGCAGTTTAACTGTTTGCTATGCACTTCCGAAGGCAGGAGACAGGCTTTCTGAGATGCCGCCTTCGTTGATGCAGCTTTTCGAAGAACGCATATGTCTCTATATTCCTCCTTTTCTTCTTTTCTTGCTGGCTCTCTCTCTTTTAAACACCCGCTACCAAAAAAATGTCGGATGTCAGCGCGAAGATCCGTTATTCGCGTTTCTCTGGTGAGAGGTAAAACGCAGTCATGACGCGGGAGCAGATACGGCGAACAGTCGCCCATTTTGCACGCTGTCCGCACGCTTGTGGGCACTTAATTCGATCCCCAAAGCACGAGAGGCAGTAGATACAGATGCAATTGGAAAAAGCAGAAGGAGAAATTAAGGGAGAGGATGAAATGGCAATAAAGTCTTATCCCATTCTAACAGCCCCTTAGATCGTACTTCTCATGGCATCTTATTATGGGCGCAAAATTTCCGACTGTGTCCTCGGAGGAAACTGCCGAATGTTCCTAATAGTGGGTCGCTGCAGACCGTGTGTTCCTGCCAACGTCTTACGCTACCAAGTAATTTTTAATAGTCCTGACAAGAGAAATTCCATAAATATTTGTACCCAGATACTGTGGAACCGTTGTTCATATGGTTACGTGGGCAGAGTAGAACCCCGTTTGGACGACCTAGCCTTACATTCCTTTTTTGGTTAAACCTGCAGGGTCTGCTAAAGTAAATTCATGTCTTTTGACTGAGGACCTACCAGCTCAAATTCGCTTCCCGCGTGAAGAACGTCAGTCGGATTTTGTTCTTCTAATATCCACTCTTTTTAAGTTTCGAGCTACAAAACAGACCCCATTTTTCTCTTAAATTCCATCCTCTCGTGTGCTCTCAGGATCGCAAAATAACACCAGCTCTTGCAACAGAAAGTAGGGCAAACGACAGCATCGGACGAGTTGACGGTGACGCCCCTTCTAGTTAAGTTTATAGAGACGACACGTACCGCCAGACCAACTTGTTTGACCCCTGTGATCTCTTAGTATTGGGATTAAAACGTTATTTAAAGTATAGGACAAACAATGGTCTCATTCCCAGCATTCAACGGAACGAAAGTGACATCTGATGGACAGGCACTTCTGCATAGTGAGTCTTCCAGGTCTCAGAATACTCTGTTTGCTTAAACAGTAATCGGACGCCCTAGTTGGAAGGGAGTCATGCAAATCCACGGACACGTTATTTGAACTAAAAGGTAGTTTTAGGGGAGCTACTCAAGAGTTGGCCAAAATCTCCCTAGGCTTGTTGGAGGACTGCACCATATGGCAAAACAGGCGTTTTCCAACTCGGCAAAGTAATTCCCGATGGAAAAGCTGCACATTTTCTTGATCTTTCTGTTAAATCCTTGCGTGCTCATTCTCGCAACGCTAATTCTTTCGAAAAGCCTTAAAATATTGACTTATCAGAGGCATTAAGGAAGGATGAGCTGATGACTTTAAAGAACTCAATGTTAGGGGGCACTCACCGATCGTTCATACGGAACTCACTCGTTCCGTTGTGCCTTAAGGGCTCTCTCTCGAGCCCAACCAGCAGCCGCACAGCGGCGCATGATATATAGGCAGAATGATATTACCGACATTACGCAGAGTACTTATGTAGGGATTTTCTGTTTGGAATCAATTATGGATTCCCCGTAAAATTCCTTCTTTAATACTCCTTGCATCTACAGCAGTCTCAATTCATGTTCCGTACTCCATTTAGCTTGTATACTAAAAAAACTTCTGGAAAAGTTAAGAAACTGGACCGTGTTTGTGGACCCTAAAGTTTATGTGTGCCAAGACGGTGAAAAATGCTGGTAAACCTTTTGAAACTATGAAAAATCACGAGAAAATCGTCGTAAGACGACAATGTTGAGGCTGAAGACAGCAACCAGGTGAATGAATCTACCCAAATTTTACACGAAACCATGAGAATTACCAACTTCTCTGAGGGGACCGGACAATATAAAAACGTGCTCTTTGCGTAACATTGTCATCAGAGTTATCTGTCCCTTTTAGATACTCACCGTAAACTAAACCCCTTTGTTCAGTGCAGAACCGCAATAATTCCGATTTCAGATTTGCTGCGTCTGAATTCCCGCGGTCGAACCGAACGGTGCGAAAGATGAACACAGGATGACCGAAGGAACGATCCGACAGGGGGTCGAGGACGACCACACCTACCGTCCGCTGCGCAGGTTCGTGGACACTCGAGGTCGCCTCCTGCCCGGCAGGTGTTGCGGAGGTAGCAGCAGTCACTCCACCACCCGGATGGCTCACGTGCAGGACGCTGTCATTTGCCTCGCCTATAGAAGCAACATACGTAGCGAAGCGGGCCGGTGGAGCCAGACGAATCTTCTCACACTCCGATCGGCTCATGCCAACAATTCGACGGCAATTCAGCCTACGAATGAGATTCAGGCCAGCCTGCACCCAGTGCATCTCCTCCAGCGTCAGCGACTTTGCCGCTTCCTCTTCCGCAGTCTCCACTACGGCCTTGCTCACTTCCCTTCTGGGTCCGGGGAAAAATGCTGAGTGATCGCGCTGGAAGGCACTGGATAGCACAACGGCTCCAGGCGTTATCCACGCGGCCATTAAGAAAAAGGGACACCACACTATGTGTATTCGGAAAGAGCTGGTGGCGCACCACATGTTCTTGGTGTATGCTCGCTCTGGCTGAGGGTTAAAGTTACCTTATGAGGAGCAATAAGGGAATGCGGATGCCTTATATAGACGTAGGTGGCGGACAGCCGTCCACCTGAATGACACGTGGGTGGGGGCGTGGGAGGGAGCGCTGTTACACAGCACGAGGTGAGACAGGAGGGGCGATTTCACCGATGACACAAACAAGAGGTGAAAAGTTCGTTGTGTGGAATACCAGCACACGCGGGATAATTTAACGTTATCTCTCTTCCTTCGCTCTCTCTCTCTCTCTACTCTCTTCTACGCGGAAGGAAACACACACGAGAGACGGGTGGGCAGGTAGATCTTTTGTGCTGCCCAGCCCTGAACCTTGGTCCGGCTTCCGGCCAACCAACGGGGCCATTACTGACACACACGCACCTCACACAGCGGCACCCCTTCACAAACGTACACTGCGGGCAAAGGTGTGTGCGCGAAGAGGCCTGTTGGGAAGGCGTAAAGAGGGAGGGGCGATCAAACGAGTCCATCAAACCCTGTCGGCGGCGGTGATCTGCATTGGCGAGAGAAGAGAGGAAAAAAGATCAAAGCCAGAGGTGCCGCCGCCCTCAACCTAGAATCCCCTCGTGCTTGCGCGCCCACGAGGCACAGCGGGGTTCGGCGAGCTTCACACGTACACACGAGCGTGCTGGTGTGTGTGTCCTTCGCGTGCGCACGCTTTAGCACACATACGCACACTCGTCCGGGGCACCACCACCTCCACCAATCAGAGTGCGAATGCCCAACTGTGAGGAGTGTTCACAGGGCTTGTTGCTCGCTAACCGCTGATCTCTCCCGTCCACCCGCTGTTGATGGCTGGTGCGTGTCCGCCAAACCCTCGCAGTGGGAGATACCACCCGCTGGGGCCGCCTCGTCTGCGGCGGTCTCGGAGTTGTGGTTGAAAAAGGCGACCCCCTACAAGAAACAGACTGAAGGGCAGAGTAGTGTTTAGACTATTTCCAGCAGAGGGGGCAGGACGTACGCTGTCAACAGAAAAGCCACCCATCTAGGCGTCCTACCATCCGGTACCAAAAGTAACCTTTCCATACAAGAGCACACAAACTGGGGGAGAGGCAACAGATGGTTATACAGAACGCTGATCTGCCACAGATGTTGCACATACCAAGTTACCCGACCCACCCTACCATGGGCCTGATTTCTTCTCCTCCTGTTGCGCGGAAATCCAAGATTTGTCAGACTTGGAAATCTTTTTGACTGAACTTATGTCGTGGTACTCGCTCTGCACCGTGGGACGAAAGAGTGACCTCTCTCGTCTACCTCAACAAAACCAATCGACTCTTGAGGAAACGGATTAGACACCATGTTTAAGAAATATGCTACGTACTAGGATGTTGTTATTCATTTAGTTTAATCTCTGGTCTTCTATGTAGAATGATAAATAATGAAAAGTAAAGGATTAATGGTACGAAATTATTCTGGGGCTGGTGGAATAAGCTTCCTCTACGCTCAAACTCTGCCACGTTACCAAAACATCCCTGTCGCCTAGATAGCACACTTTTTCTGTTTCTCAAGTCCACCTTTGACAACCAGCTGGTGACTATGATTTCTAGTAATAAATTTATAAAATAAACTATTTTCCAATGCCTCTGGCAACCATTCTTCAATTGGCAGCCGCCAACCGACAAATTCGAACTCCAGAAGAGCGTTGAAAAAGTTACTACTTCTTCATATTTGCACTTAAGCACGGGAATCATTTCAACGTCAAACCCATCGAAGCCAAATATTTGCCGCAGTGGACTTTTGTTAGAAAGAAAAGCGAGCGAAAACCCGCATTCAAGAAGTCTGCGTCATGTCACGATTTGAAGTTTAAAGACTACTAGAAAGCATATAAAAGTCCATTTGTAGTTCTAAGTTGTTGCTACATGCTCCTTATCACCGCAACTAGTGTGGAAAGGGGAAAAGCGACTTGAAAAAATTTTGGGAACTGTTTGCTTGTCCAGTTCATGTTCCCGCCCAAAAGCGCAGCCGGACTCACAAAAGTTCCTTGAACAGCACTTAGGTGGTAGCAAACATAAGACGACGCATTGGTATTGATAAACAAGAGCAACACTAGTTTCAAACTTAACGCAGAAATTAATTTGCTTGACTGCGGTGACTGCTTCAGAGTTATACGATGCCTTGCCTATCTCCTAAAGTTCAAACTAAAATTCTGAAAAGTGTTGTCGACTACAAAGATCTCCTCAGACCGGATCGTTATATTGATTATGGCGCAGCAAAATCTTGAGATACTTCGGCCCTGTAAGAATATCCAATTTGAATGAACCGCTTTCCGAGTGCCCGTAAAAGGTACAATCGACAATAAAAACTACCTGAAAGCAAGATTTTCTGGTCGATGTTCAACGCAATCGTAAATTTAAATTATTTTATAGAATACCTGAACGTAAAATATTTTTACTGTACTCGTTTGGTAAAAAATATCGTATTCTTCAATTTCTTTTTCGAAGAAATGGCATCCTAAGTTTATAAAAAAAACTTCACAATTGTATGATCTCACAAGGGAAAAATATCCATTCCAATGACATCGTATGTGTCCGTTTATTAATACTCCTTATGAAGTAAAAAGCATAGGCCATATGAATAGTAGCATTTTCTGGGACCTCTATGGCATCATTTTAACGGCGTAGAGGAATAGGTGATTCTACCCGCATGTAACGAGTGAAGCACGTGTTTTGTAAACGCCAAGCGCAAATGTAACGGCTGATACAGTTTAAAATTACCCTGAAATTGCAAATGATAGGAGAGAGGAGTGAAAATTACACGCAGGCTTGCGCCGAATTCCAGGGCTGCCTGGTCCCGTGTTTTGACGCTAACTCTAGTCTTAATTCTAATCCGAACCCTGGGATTTAAATCAAAGCCAATATTTCCGTGTCCCACCCGAGAAACCCGTTCAAATCCAGATAAACCCTTTCTTCCGAAACAAAGTATGAAGAAAACACAAGTGACTCAAGGACAAAAAACCTCGGCGGCCTTGGCGGGTTCCGAATCCATGTGAATAATGGCACGGCTTGAGTACAGCCAACGCTCTCACTAATTGAGGTACCAGACCTCTCGGGGAACCGTGAGCTTAAGCAGATTTGGGTCAAGTTTCTCGCTCAGCCTACTGCCCGCACGGAAACCACTACTTCTGGCACACTGAGCTGCCTGTCTAAGCAGGATTCCCTAAGGAATCAATCTAGAATCCTGGTGGGGACTCGAAGCGCAGGTGGTGGGAATGTCGAGTGCACACAATTCGTACGCTTGCTGTCGTGGGTTTGAATCCCAACGAAGTCTTCGAGTTGTCCCCAAGTGGGTTAAACAAATTATTCAAATATACCAAAACATGAATTAATAGGAAGGCGTAGTTTGCTACCAAATGATTGCAAGGGTGAATTATTTTAGTGCATGTTTTCCATAAAGTATACTTGATTTCATAAATGCATCGAACATCGATGGGAAAATTCATACTACGCCATTAGTCACTTTTTTATCGAACGGGCTTCTTGAAACTGAGCTGGAAATAAGTTCACTCAAAACCTACATTCTGGCGTGAGTGAAATATCTTGAGGTGACGCCGCACGATAATCTGCATTGCAGCTCTAGTAAAGTGATTCTTTTTAACTGAAAACGATTTTCAGAATATCGGTTAAAATTTCGTGAAATAGGTCGTCCGCTTCACATGTGGACCACCTGCGCGGTCGGTGCACCCGCGCGTTCCAGGTGGTGGATTGCTACCAAGGCGTGTCTGACTGAAGTTGAAGTGGATAATTTGGAAATATTAGCTACCTTCATCACCCTACTTGAGCACTGCCCGTCTCTGCCACTGTCTGCTTCAGGCTCTTGCGGCTTCTTAAGGGGTCACCTTCTCGTGGCATCTAAATCTGACTTCGAAACCTGTCCCCACTGTGAAGCTGAAAATAATCGGTTTAAAGCTCGACAAATTTGCGAAGACAAGCGACAATTCCAAGGGCGAGCAATAATCGAAGAGTGGTAACGGAAAGCAAACGAAACTAAAATTACCATTTCTGTTTTCCTTTTAATTGTCAGGCACAGAATGAAAGGAACCGGGAATCTAAACGGTATTCACTCGCCATTGATCGTTAAGTAAAACATTATGCCACTAAGACACAGGATCGCCGTCCTCTCAAATGCGATCGAGAAGTTGTGTCAACCGGTCCATTCTGACTATAGGATAAAATCCACCAAACTTAATATACAGTGACCAAGGAGCGCAGGTCCGAGCCTGGGTCCTGCCGGCCTGGGGTTGGTGTGATAGCGGTGCTGACGTACTGTCTGCGTGACGAGTCGGCGCATGGTGGAGGGTGGTTGAAATTTAGACTTTGCCTCCATATTGTGAAACGGAAGTCGCAGATGCGAATCTGCCCCAGCTTAATTGCGGTCGCCGTCATTTCGACAAAATTTCTAGCTAATTGTGCAGGCTACTCAATGTTACAGTGAGTTCTTTGCTCGAATCATACTGGACAAATTGCAGCTCGGGGGTGGGTCACCCTAACTAAGGGACCTGTAGCAGTAGAGTAACTGCCACTTCGGCCACGTAAGAATATCCAGATTGCTGTGATCTGCGCAGCGGTCACAATCCGATGACCTTCACTGACCTGCAGGTGAAGCCAGGTAAGGCGCGAGGCTTCCGCTAGATACTAAAACTATTTGGATCCTGATTCTGTCAGCGAAGATCAGGCACCCGTGGCTTGGTACGCACAAAACTTACACCTAGTCAGTCGTCCATAAGAACTACACCGATGCTCATCTCATGCCGAGTGAGCCAACTGATGGAGAAATTGCAGATTCTAAAATGTTAAGTTGAGCACTTTAGATGTGTCCTCAGCAGACCACCTGCAGCCTGCGGGGAAAGCGTGGGCTAACTCCGTTAGGTGGGGACCAATGCCGACCTCGTCTACTTGCCCCCCTGCGGGAAACAGTAAGACTCCTGCAAAAAATTCCAGTTAGAAAGCTTCGGTTACTGAGAAGTCAAGAATCCAGGCAATGTGACAGCTTGTACATACTGCAAATGCATATTCTAACCACGCATTGGACGGGTCGGTCACCTGCGAGCTAGTGGCTGTGCGAGCAGAGGATCAGTGCTGGGAACATCAACAACTGTCCGTTAGTCAGTCTCCCTGTCCACACTGTCCCAGGACATCCAGCCGACGAGTTGGCCCCTTAGGCTGCGCATGCAAAATTTAAACTTTCGGTAAAACTGCATGGATCACACCTCCCTTATAGAAACTTTTAATGCATGCGCACGCAAACACATTTGGACTATGCATGAACCCATTCGGTCACAGGCGTACACACCTCGATTATTGGCAAAATGTGACGTTTCGCTCAAGCAACAGCCATGTGGTGCAATTTGCTAGAATTTTATGATTGGCGAAACGCCCTGAATGGGGATAAGTGTGGAATGGAGGATTAGCGCGCTTGCCTTTGAAGCCACGCAAAACATCATACCCAATTTCAGTTCCTTTTTAGACCATCGCGATGAATCAAAAATCGCAATTTGGAACGCTGTCACCCAACAGGAAAATTGCATCACCGAACAGAACACGGGAAACTGCAATAGCCACCTCTGGCTTATTAGCCGGTCAGTCGGCCACATCAAATCCCATGTCCACGTGGCCCGAGGTTCGAACCCGGGCCTCTTGGTAATTGGACCCTGAATTGTCGGTCGAAATCGCTGAAAGCTGCTCATACGATCGTGAGTATTCCTCATACCAGCCGACAGAGCAACGGAACAATGGTTCAGTGCCAGTGCGCTGGACTACTTAACGCCCAATGACCGGAAAATCCAGGTTTGAATCTCCGGTGATTCGAGGTTGGAGTTGAGCTTGACCGACTGATGACGATTAGCAAGCCAGAAGCGGTCATTCCAGTCCGCCTTTTCTTCGTCAGAAATTTCTCCCTGCATATATTACTAGTCACTACGGGACCGCCTATATGAGCTCTCGATTAACTTCGAAGGCGCAACGGAACATGCATCTCCCTCACCTGATCGCCAAATGCCCTTCCAACGATAAGTCCGTCATTCTTTTGAACCAGAAGTAGACTGTAATAGTTCATTATTACGGTAGCCTTAATGGCACCCTTTACTTCTTTTAAGCTGAAGTCCGTATGTGGTACGCACCGGCTGGCAATATCACCTACTGCCAACAAATGCCCATCTTCACTCCCAGTCGATTCGACTACCATAAGTTACTATTGCATGAACGAAGGAAGAAGAAATGAGATCGGCCCAACTCAGATCCATCGTCTAAGTTTCTCATAACAAGCGACTAAATGATGCACTAAAATTCGCAACTTAGAAGGCTACCGACTGACGGTGTAGTTTGCTCCTACTCAGGGCCGACTGCAATGGCTGCTTAGTGACATTATCAGTACAGTACTCTCGTCTGCACGAGATCCGATACCTCATATTTAAGTCCGATACATGCAGAGCGAGGGACAATGTAGTGCGTGACACTGGCAGACGGTGTTTAGGATTGCCAGAAACTGCACCCACTCTGATTTCAGGTAGTCTGGACGTTCTTTTACCATCAGAACGCTGGGCATGTGAAGTGAGTAGAGCGCAATCGTACTTCGATTTAAACGACTTTTTTGGAAAGTCGCTGCTGCGCTCACTTTGAGTGGAATGGTGGAACCTGTCGCTTGCCTCAAAGCTAGTAAAGTTGCATTAGTAGAGTAAAATGCAAACGTGACAGATCCGTTGTTGCGGATAAGCAGCACAAAACGGGGAATCAATACACAGAGGGGCCTTGATTTCACTCCCGGCCACGTGTTCCATTGACTTTTCGTCAGCTGAATGATGCTGCTTCAAGAGGTTCGACTCTGCAGCAGGTCTTTGGCTCTCACAGGTTTTTTGGCACAAGTCCAGTTAATAATATTGAACCGACGCTTTCCAGTTGTACAAGTGAAAGCACTTGAGGTGACTGGTCCAAGTCACGACTTTTGGACATAGGCCACGAGATTACTACGTCTGTTTGGACAAATACTGAGATTAAGTCAGAAACTGTCAAATACCCAAAACGAATGCTAACTAAAGCCCAGGTACAGATTTTCCCGTCATTGAATGCGTTGTTTCAGAGACTTGACTGTAATTCAGTCTATTAGTTTGGCCGAGCTCGTTGTGCGGCCATCCCCGTGGTAAATCTGTCGAAAAGTCTGTTGAAACGCCATTTGGCAAAGGTATGGTTTATGGCCAGGGTTATTTACCCGAGGGAGCACTTTTGTTTAGCAAAATAGCCGAACGTCTAAGAACTTTGTGGTATCACAAATTTTGGTTCTCCATATTGTCACGGATTAAAAAGGGGACACCATTTTTACCATTTAATGATAATAGTAAATAAAGTAAGTGTCTCTTTGCAAGCATTGTCAAAAAAGAATGAATTGTCGTATTTTTACTCCGATGATTACCTTAAAGCATCCTGATCATCCTCATGCAGTAGCCACTGCGAGGTCTTTTTATTTCTTTTTTGGCACGTAAAAATAAATATCGTCAGTTATTTCTTTTATCATAATTACTCTCAGGAGTAAGAAACCCCCGCCATAAACCAAACCTTTTCTTTGTATTTTGCAATTTTTTGATTCTGGGTTTCCAGTACCTCGTTCAGCGTATGACAAATGCCAAAAACAGTGAAATCCTCAAACGCACCCAAAATCAGCGCGCTTTTGTTGTTTCTGTCGACCAACCGGCGATGTAGAACCTTGTCGTGACTGGATTGACTGTCGCCTTCGGACTCTTTGATTATTGAGCGTCGAATCGAACGATTTACCGAGACTCAAAGTTCCAAAGGTTATGCTTATTTTAAATTAAATTTGTCATCTTTTCTTCTCCATTGTTCTTTGACTTTTATATTTCTTAGATAATATCGAAGGTCCGATTCTCAGGATACCGGTGACTTTTTACAGAGTTCGCTTTAATCATTTGGGCCAAGAAGCGCATAAAGGTATGCAAATCGCCCTCTCGACACCTGCTGTGGACTTATCATCAGCAGCAACAAAGGCGATCATTGTGGTGCACAGACAAGAGGAATTTGTCGGCATCTTTTGAAGGCACCGAAAGGACCAAATGAACCTGTGTCGAACTCAAGACGCCAATTGAAAAAACATGACGTAATAATTAGCCTTCCTAGGCCTCGCTTCTGACTCATGTCTACAAACTAAATGACGCCGACCGATTCCTTTCAAGATGAATTTGAATTTAGATGATCGCAGGGTGGCTATCGCAGTCTGTGTAACGCTATAACCGGACACTCCCCACACTGTCAGTGTCTTTACTTGGGTTCGCCTGGTAAAGTTGAAAGCCCTGCCTTCCAAAGGACAGCTTTGGCTAGGCTCTTGCAAGCCCGTGGGAAATAACAGGCAGAAAGGCTTATTTCGGGCTTCTTGAATTGCTGGAGACTCCCTGATGCATAACTAGGCTCTCGGCGCAGTAACAAATCCACTCGTGAAGAAGGGCCTAACTTCGAAAGAAATGAATTTAAAATGTTGTACTTTGCATAGAAATATGGTGTTGTTCACTTTTTAACACTATATCATGAAAAATCGTGGTTTCATAAATAAGTAGAATCCATTCGCTCGTTCGACACAGGCAAGAGGACGGAAAAATAGACTTGTCTAGGTGGCAACAAAATAGGCGTATTTAATCACCACGGAGAGTCCTTGGTTAATTCGAAGAGATAGTCTAAACTAGACGGAACATTTGAGGTTTTACCCGGTTGACCGGGCGAATGTGCTTCAAGTTTACCTTTTACCAACAGCGTTTTTCCATAAAACTCCTAGAAGAGTGGAATCATATTAGGGGTCCGACTCACTGGATGAGTGTCAGTCTATTAACTACGATAACGTTACCGTAGGTCCATTGACACCAAAATCAACTTGTCGTAACACAGCGCTTTCCAGAGAATCCATTTAAATAGACGGGCTGAAGATGGCCTGAAGTCGTTTGTGAGGCGAGTCTTTTCGCCATACGCTTTGCCTGTTGGTAGTTAGCTAGGAGATTGTTTCGTTAAATATCAAATGGAATATATAAGGTGGTTGTATGTGTGTCGATACTAGCTGAGGGCATAGCTTTCAAATAGCTGCAAAATATCCTTCCCAATCTGAATGAATGTCGTACATGCTTGAACAGTACGAAGTAGTGATACACAGTCAGTTTCTTTGGAAATTTTGGGAGGTAGGCAAGACACTCCTAGATAGCACCACAAGGCACCAAGGTCTACTCAGTGAGGGTGCTGAGAGACAACCTCGCCCTATAGAAGGTTCGCCGAGTATGGTCATTTCTGGCTTATTAGCCGTCGTCAGCCAGTCATGCCCAACCACGAAGTGTGGGACACCTGGAGCTCGATCCCGCGACCTGTTAATTAGAAGTCCAACGCCTCTAACCACTGAGCAACGGGCTCGTGGTCCTGTCGGTTGCGACCGGGAATGTACACTGGTAGAGGGGCGCTCACCGATCGTTTTTTATTCTGCCTATATCATGCTCTTATGCGCGGCTGCTGGTTGGGCGCGAGGAGAGCCCGTAGGGCACAACGGGACGAATGTGTTCCGTAAAAAACGATTGGTAAGCGCCCCTCTATCAGATGACTGCGTGCCTATCAGGACCTACCAAACTGCCATGAAAAATTCTAGGTTATCGTAAAATAAACCTTGAAATATGCTGTCAGTGACCGACCTCATTAAATGTTGACCAAGATTCTAAGATGTATTTTCTGCTAGGAGGGATTCCGTAGGTGGGATTGTAATGCTGATTATCTTGCGGCATAATGCTGTGCTTCTGCGGATAAACCAGACTGCTGACGTCTAAATGTAGTTCCACCAGTCGCCTGCAATAACTGGACTTGACAGAAAATGATTACTTAAGTACTAGGCATCTTTTCACTTGACTTTCGACAGTCCTATAAATTTAGTTATATTTAGTTGGAAACATGCATGAAAATAACTTTTCTCATGCTCACTTAGTAGCAAATCACGTCTTCTTCAAATTTTGTAATCGAGGAAATGTTATCTTTGGGTTTTATGAAGTTTCTAGTTATGACATTTTAAATGGCGTGCAATGGCTGTTCAAATAGCACAAAATCTCTCCGTTTGCTAAGACTTCTCACGAAGCATGCAGCATAGCCTAAATCGGTGCAAACTTTGATGTGCCTTATTTGGCATCTACTTCATGACATAGAGAAATGGGTGTTTTTCATTACATGGAAAGTGTATACGTAGTGGACTGAAAACTTTGAATGCGAATGCAGAAGCAGATCGAGCTCAAACTTATTTTGTTATTGAAAAGCTTTTTTAAAAGCGAAAGATGACATTTTATCAAGTAAAAAGTTCGAAGAAGTGATTTGATGCTAAATGAGTATAAACATATTTTTGCACATGTTTTCAACAAAATATATTTAAATTTTTAAGAATGCCGAAAATCGGGGGAAAGAATGCCTGATACTGAAGTAGCGATTTTTACTGAGTGAAAAGGCGACTGAAAAGAAGTGCATTTAGAAGCCAGCATCTTGGCGTGTCCGAAATATCACAGCCTTATGCCGCAAGATAATCAGTATTACAACTCCACTTAAAATAATTCTTCGTAGTAGAAAACACATTTCATTAGTTCGGCCAACATTTTATGAGGCCGGCCACTGACTGTAATTCCAGTCTGTGTTTTCTTTGCCTCTTCAGTCAAGCGCTTTTCCAAATGGTCTACACAGAACCTCAACAAGTCTGGATAAGAAGCTCGTGTACGCTTAAAATTTGCACCATTTCGCAGTTTAATTACCGGAAAAAATTCTCCATAGCATTGGCCCTTTTTGGAAGGTCGAGTACTTAGTTTGTGCCACATCATCCCATTCAGCCGTTCCGTTCCTACACTCCCTCCCCCCAGCTCAGTCGCTAAAGCTATGCAATTTCGGGCTAGATATACATAATGTCAGCGTTAACTACCTTCAATGACAGTTGGCCAGTTAAAAGCGCTATTACTGCACAAAAACATGTGCACTGCGCTCACGTCCCCCTTAAACATGCCACTATCCAAGCTTTGAGAGTAAATTAGAGTATACTTGCAATTCTCTCCTTTAAAATCAACTCATAAGTTTGTACTTTATATTAAACCAACCCAGTAAGAACCCTGGAGATGGAGTAACAGGCCAAGCCCTTCCAGCGGCGTTGTGTGACGGCAGTAAATCGGCAGAACACATGCCTGTCTTCTCACTTAGTACCTGCGTTGGCAGTTTGATGAAACGATAGTGAGTGTAAAAATGCCCTCCTTAAATGCATGAATGTGAGCATCACGGTGTTATCTGCAAAATCCAACAATAAATGTTGTTGATAAGTTTTCACAATTCATCTGACTCAATTGCAAAACCTTCGCAGTCTCGGTGGAGTTTGATCCCACGACTGCAAGTGCAAGGCTTGTGTACGGGTAAGGCCCGAACCAAATGAGTCAAGAGACCCCGGCTGCGAGCCCAATTTCCCCCCCCCCCCCAGCCAACTTCAGCATACGGAATTCACCAATTCTGATACAGCAAGCTGAATACTCCGACAGGATTTCTCAAGTAACCAGTCTAGAATCCATCAGATGATTGCCAGGATCGCTTAATTAGTTTTTCGACAAATCTGTATAATTTGTCTGACGCAATTAAGAAGAAATTTGGCGGCCTCGGTGAGGTTCGAACTAACGACAGCGAATTTAAGGCCTGTGTATAGCTAACGCTCCAACCACCCGAGTTACGAGTGCAGCGGTATTGGCTCAACCCAGCAAATTTTTCTCACCAATTTACTACAAGATCGTCTATCAAGTTCAAGTGCCATTCTCGTTAAACTTTTTGGAGCATTCTTAACCAAATCACTCCTTTTCGAAAAAGTCGCTTTCAGAGTTGATCACAACAAAAAGCCAAAAACAAAATGAAATTGAATTTTAACTAACGGCAGCTCAACAATTAGTTATTTGGATTGTTAGCAAAATGACTGAAAGTGCATGCTGTGTTCAAACGGCCCTAGTAAACATTCCATTCATTTATAAAGGAAACACCGCTGGAGGAAGCAGGGGCACTTAGAAGATGGGATCTGAAAGTTGAGCCGAACGAAAGTAAGTTTCCTCGGTATCTGGCCCGATAGATTGTCGGCTTGATCAGAGAGATCAGTCACCCTGTATTCGCGGCTCCCTGACAGGCAAGTGGTGTTGCTGTGATTAAGATCAAGAAGGTAGTCTTAGTTCTCCGAAAGCGCGGCGCTTTCAGATTCTGACAAGTTAGTTGCGGGGGGGGAGTAGGAGGACTGTGGCCTAGGTGACGGGCATCTAAGGTAACGGTAGGTATCTTCAATGAAGGCGGCTTAAAAAACTTTCGCCCTAAGTGGGGAAGCTGCGAGATTACATAAGACCTGGCTCAAAGATTGGCAAATGTAAAGCTGGCTACAGGAATATAAAGGTATGAAAGGAAAGCTTGTGAAAAAGCTTTAGCTCCAAAAATGCTTCTTTGTAAGAGCTTTTCCTTGTAAAAACTTGTACGTGGAATGTAGAAACACATTTTATAGTGAAAGGAGAGAATATATTAAACATCCGCCTTGGGCGATTGTGTCCTTTTTCAACAGAACACCAGAAGAATCAAGATGGTCTGTGGAGGCCTCTCCTAGACAAGAGACCTGAGAAGACGAAGACTGACACCAGAACTCAAATCCTTTAAAAGAAGTGCCTTACCGCAGAAGAGTGCAGTTTAAACACGTAGCCCAACCTCATAGCATGCGTGTATACAAAAGTACCGCATTGAAAGCTCTAATTTGTGACTTCTGTTACGGAAACGTACAAACGCTGTCCCCTCGTCCTTCAGAAGACTGTCAGGAAGATTCAGGTGGACGATTCAGTCAATGTTTATTCGGGCAGGTTAAACAGCCAGAACAGAGTAATTAATTCGCCTGGCTGTCTCCATGAACCGCTGTTCGGGAGCTCTGTCTATTTACTGCGTAGAGGGTGGAAGGTAGAAGTGAATGGTCTGGCGGCACCGCGCTCATTTGCAGACCAAGTTATGGGACATGCTCATCCCGCTGTATCTTGAGTTTAATCTAAAACCCTCGCAGGCAGCCATTACGATACAGGATGGAATGCCAACAAAGACAATGGCGACTGGAACGGCAATTTCTGACTTAATGGCCGTCATCAGCCAGATATACCCAACCCTGGGTTCGGAGGACCAGGTTCCTTGGTCACCTATGGCTTTTAGACAGAACGCTCAACCACTGGGCCACGGGCCCGTTATCACACCGCGGACATCGATAATAGTTAATACCACATGATATGTGTTTGCTGATCAGGTTCACCGTGTTGATGTAATGTACTCCTCCTCCCATGTTCGCTTGCCAGAAGCATGAACATCCTCGCTGTCAACGCTGGTTTTCCCTTTGATCATCAAGAGGTCGGGCCTCTCTGGCGGTCTTTCAACTAACACAGAATTTTCCTTCATTTTTGGATTTCATTTGGAAATAGTTGCGTCCAATCTTAGTGAGGGGATGAATCTACTTCAAAAAATTTTGTGTCCACCAGCTAATTTGCGTCGCATGTCTTACTGTAGACTGCACGTCTGTCTACGCAACAGAAGCCGTAAAGGTTAGTCGCAAAATCTGCCGTCCAAATAGGTTTAAAGTAGGATAAAGTTAAAATCATCATCACGGACATATGTATTTCCTCGACTGAACTATGGCTAGGGCCACCTGAAATAAGTGAATGACTGCAGTTGGGGTCATTTAGGGGGCGAAAAGGATAACAAATTTTACAAAATCGTATTTGGACCGCATGCTAGTTTTAATGTACAAAAGGACTCTTTGTATGAAGATAGTTCAAAGAGACACGCATCTGAGCCAGGATCTGCGTTACCTCGACCTTCAAGTTTTGAAGTAGTAGGTGTTTATCTCTCACAAGCACAATTTTTTCATCGTCATATGAATACTTGTTTCAATTTTCTGATGCCGTATATTTGGTGTAATTGCGAACCGATGGGAACCAAGGCTGTAACTAATTAAGAGACATGTGTTTATGTTTACTGTCTACTGATTTCCACTAACGAGGTGTGTGTTTTAGTAAAATTTTACTTCATACACCAAGTGCCCTCCCCAAACTCCCTTGGCCGTCTAACCAAAAACCCAATAAGGACACCCATCTAGTCGAGCGACGACAGAACTTCCTGAGATGCTGATGACAACGATGGTGGTTGTAAGTTGTAGACAGACTACTGAGTGACATTTTAGGCTTTTTTCGTCATTGAGCTCATGTTCAAAACAAGAAAGGTTAGTCATGTCCCTCTGTCGGCTGGGGGCAATCGGAATTTTCGCACTCCTTTGATGACTGTCACCTGGGGGTGCGGCAGTCCTTCTCCCCGGTCCTCCCCCCCCTCTTCCCCCCTCCGATTCTATCTACTCGATAGCGCCCATTCAGACAGTTAGCCAGACAGTGATACAGAGTATACGAGCTGCTTGTTGGAAGGGGGTTAAGGGTGACTACTAGGACCAAGAGGACTTCTCTAGGGATCATGTTGCAAACTGAAACCTCTGGTCGCAACCCCTGCCGGGCTTGATTAGACTCTGTGCGGTGCGCTTTGATCAGTGACCTGCTCCGGCTTCTCTTACCCTGGCGCCGACGGCGGCTCAGAAAATGGAATTTTTTCCTATCAGTTGCGGAAACAGGGTTCCGTGCGTGCGCGCGCGCATGTGTACGTGTGTGTGTGTTTTCTTTGACGGCCTGTTTTCGATCTTTCGTCCGAGAGATGTGTGACTAGAAGCCGAGTTACCTACCGGTTGCTATGTCCTGCTAGCGCACCCCAAGCTTGACAATTATTACATAAGGTTTGGTGGTGGTGGTGGCGATGGCGGCGGCGGCAGAACTGGCAGCAGTAGCAGCAGCAGCAACAGGAGGAGCAGCAACCGTGTCACTTATGTGCATTTGACCGTCTGATCGTTTATCCGCCGTAAACTCCTCCTCCTCCCACCCCATATCTCTCGCCCCACTCAACCCCCCCCCCACGAGTTATTTTTGCGCCGACCCCTCCCGTGCCAAGCATCCTCAAGATCAAAGCACAGGAGTATACTTCAAAGTGGACGTGTAGGCACACAGTCGGGACAGCAAATTTGTAGCTTCCAAAAGAGGTAGGAACGCGGAAAGACCGGCCGCCCACACGCAGAAACAGCTGTGCCACCGCGTGGTTGCCTCCCGTCAGCTCTGAATGAAGTAGAATCGCAGGCAGCCACGATGGGCGGTGGGGTGAGGTCTAGGGCTTGTCCTGGTTAGATTTCGTTTTGGTGGTTGGTTGGTGAGGAGGGCAAGGGGAATGGTGGGGTGAACGCAACAGGCACCATGTGCATTACACGTCCGTCCGTTCCATTTACAGGTTCAAACTGCCCTCGGGTGTGTGGTTGGGCGCGTGATCTCTCATGCGTACAGATTTTGAAGATAGGAAGAACAAATGTGAATAACGGCAGCAGGAGCATCATTCTGGTCCGTGGGCGTATGGGATTTGCCGATGTTTTGATGGTTATGGACACCAACATAGGGATGTCGTCAGCATATGCACGGTAAAAACTCCGTTTGACGCTGGGTTCATTGGGCCTATTGGAAAAGAAAAAGCTAATTTGCCTTTCTGATTCTGCCTATGACCTTAGCAATACGTGAAGCAACTCCGTTCTAGACTGCACATGTTATATGTCAGTTTGAAACCTGAGTTTAACTAACCTGTGGGGAATTTTGTTCCTAAAAAAGTGTGACATCTAGGATAGTGTAGGTTAACAGATGCTTTAGAAAATTGCTTACGGAATGCAGTCCGTAGCCTATATACATATCCGTCCGGAATAAAAGTCAAACGGCCAGATGTATCTGGGTCTACGAAAGGCGCCAAATGCATGATCAGAAAATCCAGTTTGTCATGAATTGTAACGCCATAACGTATCTCGCATGCTTTGCGTGAGTCTGGAGTCTCCAGTATTTTAGGTGAATATGCCAGACAGTTATTTCTCGAATGCGGGACCAACAATAAAGTCGTGTGTGGACCAAACCTACAGTCACCTTTACACAGGAAAATGGGATTAACATAGGATAACATGCAATAGCCAGAACTACGTTCAACGGGAAAAGCTGGCTAGTTCCAGAGTCCACTCGATGGATTCTGGGAGACAGTCATGCAGAGACTAGCCACTAATTACTGCTAGATGTACTGACGGAGAGAAATTGGACTGGTCTTTCGGCCCTCCTATGCAGTGTCAGACAAGAATTCTTCACTTCCAAGCTCCAGCCAATTAATCCCACGTAGTTGTAGAATACTACACATTGCGTAATTAACACTCCAAATGATGGTCAGCAAACAGCTGAACATATTGACAAAGGCAATAAAGCAAATTAATAGATACATGATAGTTGCGTCAAACATATATTCCAATTGTTGTACGAAACTCGACGCTTCTGTTTTGGCTTAAATTCCCGCACACAGCATTGTCAAATCATCCAGAAACGGTCACTAGAGCCTACATTGTCTGACTTGGCGACACCCCCCTGTAATCGAAGAACGACTTCCTAAGTCATCAGGTTTGTGCATATATATATCTGTCATTATAAGTAGCTGACGGTAGACGCGCTTGCGTTTGCGGTATTAGCACGTAGAAAACATGTCCCACAGTGTATGCAACACCAGTCCTCAAGTCGTCTCTTCTCGTCTGGTAAATTTTAACGCAGTACACGAGAACTACTTACAGATTTTAAATAACAGTGGAAATTATATTTAATTTTAACGCATAAATTGTCCGTCTTATTTGCCGGCATCAGACAGGCATGCTCAAACCACAGAAGGAAAAGACCGACGACTCAAACGGGGAAATTTAGTGCTAGATGGCTGAATCCGTGTCACGCGCTGTGACCAGCATATATCGGTAAAAGCCCTTCCAATAAGAGTCCTTTATTGTCCTGGGGAAGGAGAGTTAGGAATTAACTTTCCCTAATGATATTGTAGCAGGCCAGAATGTTATGTCTGCGAACTACCAGTATTTGATTTTGATAAAGAGTGCTTATCCGCTTTCCGAGGCATAACATGCGATATCATGATTTCGATGGTACTCTTCATATTATTGTTAGTCTTTTACTTGCAAAACGTTGTAATAAATGTGTAGGGAACTGTGGAGGGACGGCTTAGTATGTTAATAGGATAGATTATCAGCAGTCCTCCAGCGGCTGTACTCGAAGACATTAAAAATTGATTTGGCAATGAGGCAAATCCAGTTCCGCATTTTGTGGATATCAAGAGGCCTTATCCCAAAAACGCGAAAAGTTATATGTGTATATTCTAGAGAAACTATAATGTATGTAGTTTGAGAAGCCTGGAGGGTTTACTGGGATAAGTGATTGTCTGGTAGCTTGGGAATGTGGACAAACTCTCCATTTTGGATGTCCGGCAACGCTTAAAATTCGCGGAGTTTCATAGGGCTGTGAGGACTTCCGCCTTATTTTTCACGTGATCTCCAGGGGGAAATGCGCCGTTTATTGACGGCGAGGGGAACATCAGGTAAGAAAAAAGTTGCTAAGTAGGCGATGCCAGTTAGCACGTAAGAGCCGGTTAGGTGTCTCTGTGTTTTGCAGAGGCACCTGCCGTTTTAGACTCCTCAATGGCACGCCTTTATGACCATCTACAGGTAAACAAATTCAGGTATGTCATCCACCTGTGGATCACACCACCACACGCCAGAACGAGGTGTTTCTTTTATCGAATCAAGGCCCAATCCTCGAGTTGGTCGTCCTTCATCACCTCCACAAAAATCCGCTTGAACATGTGGCAGCGTGTGAATTGGTGAGCTCATGATATTCTCCAGTGTGGACACCTATTTCACTTTCATCCACAACAATTAGCGGTGATGAAATCGTGATGGACCTTTTAACTTGGCTATGCGACAATAGCAAAAAGCCCCCGAGGACCCAACACATAATCAAACTGTTCGAGTTATGTCCCAACCCTTCTTAATTTGAGAAAGACAGACCTGCGAGTTGATCGAATTGGATTGCCACTCTTCGGCTTGATCGTGGAGGTGGTTATTCAATGAAAAGAGTAATTTGCTTTTGACAATAGCCAATCGATTTTCTGGGTTCACGGCTTCGATGACCCCTTTATGATCGTTCGGCTCATCCCATCAGCCAGCCGAAGCCCCTTCCAACCTTGGTTGACCCCAACATCCATCCTAAAAGTGGAGCATGGAAGATAACCGCATTGTCATCCTAGACATCAGAATGCTGCCCTACGTAAACGGTGAACGCAGTGGATGACGACCAAGTAACTCGGATAAAATCGTCCGATACCTCATCGCCTAAGTTTGCACTAGCATAGACTTAGGAGGGCCGCTAAGCCCAAATTGGACGGGAGAGTCGGTTCATGTGTAGGATCTACGATATTCTGCCCTCGATGAATATATTTATGACCATAACGTAAATACTTTTACTGTTAACCATGCGCATGATCTCCATTAAAATCTTAACCAGTTCGATTTTTGTGCTACGAGGAAATTAGTAGCATTGATATAGTAAACAATGCTAGCCTTTCATTTGAAACGGTGTCTTATTCGGACCTGTAAAATGGGAACTCACTTGACTTCGACCGAGATGCGTGTCTAAAGAGTGCGACGGTCGACTTCCAGATGAAATTTCATGTTATCCGGAGAAGAACGTTAACTACCTCAACATACGCACGACTCATCTCGTATACTGCTTCTAACGAACTCGAACCTGAAAGTAAAGGAGGGATATCTTCGGAAAATGTTGCTGACGAAATCCTGGGGAAACAGCGGTGCACAATTACAGATTTATTTCTGAAACAAGAGTGCAGCCGCAGTCCATATGGTCGACAAAATATCCCCAAAGTACACCAACATTGCACGTTTTTCGTAGCATATCTGCATCGATCAGTCGTCGACCACTTCTTTCAATCGATAATTTCCGAGTATGTTCAAACAGATCTCTCCGCTTGTACAACAGAGACCGGTATGATAATAGCAGACATTCTGGCGGGTTTGGAACAGGACGATCGGGAGAGAGCGCGAAGGCATCTGAGAAGGGCTATGGCTCCCAACGAAATTTGTCACCACGGCCTCTCGCAATTCATAAAGTATGCCTCTCGGCCTAAATCTTCCAGTACGTGAAGCCTGATTGTCGTTAAACTTTTTAATCGAGCTCCAAAAGTAACCATGACTTTTGACAATTAACGGCCGATGATGTTTTATGCTAGCATGTCAAAAACATCGCTGACGGGAAAGCTGATGTTTTCCGCTACCATCTGAAAGTCATTTCGTAACAAACTTGCAAAGCTTCCCTTCGTATGTTATTCGATAGAGTTCACATGGAGTCCTGAGATCCAATAAACAGCATCCTTTTTAACTCCTGCTGCTCGAGTCCGGGACTGCTCAGTTCGGGTAAGGTTACTGCTGCCTGAAAATGCCAAATAAGTAAGGTATGGCCATTCAGCATCTCTCATCTTTGTCGATATTACTCTCGATTACCAACTGGCAATACATTAATGCAATTGAATAATTAAGGAAAATGTTAATGCTGTTTCCCTGCCGCAGGGCGAGCCACTGAAGGAGAATATGACATCGAAGAAAACATCTGCATGAACTATCGATCTAGATTACCTAAAAAGTGTACCGTTAAACGTTCGAAAAGCTTTTTGACACCATCGTCTTGTAGCTTCCTGGCGCATGAACACCCTGTCAAAAATTTACTCTTTGCATACAGTTTATTTCCGGGCATTCAAACGTTCATCTTCATATTTTAGCATTACCTGTTTTCAAGGGCGATCAGATTGTAGTAACAGCTCTCGTACATGAATATCCTCCTGAATACCTTTCGCATACTCGTGAGTTCCGTTATCCAAATTTTCAGGCATCGAGTTTATCCTTATTGCTCGCGCTATACACATTATGTGACCTAATTCATGAAACGTGATGACACAGATTGTCTTGATTATTTTT